ATGCAAGACGCCTGGCAAGGATGACTTTGTTGCCGAAGCGTTACATGCAAGTACTTGGGCTTGAGAGGAGCTTTTGGAGTACCTCCTGAAGGTCGGAGCCAACGTTGCCTGACAACAGTCGATCATGCAGCAACCGTGGTGCGTCGTGCGTCTCCAGAGGGTGGCGCCGTTGCCCACGCTTGAAGTCCGCTGCCTTCCCTCTCAGGTCTCTCAGCCCAATTCCCAGGGCCAGACGCCGCTGGCCGTCGCCACGCAGAACCAACAGGAGAGCTGCATCCAGATCCTGAAGGCCTAGTGGGACCTTTCAGGGTGCTCGCGTTTGAATGTTGTGATGCAGTGACGCGGTGATGTGCGGTGGTGTGCGGTGGTGTGCGGTGATGCTTGCCGGCTGAGGCGCATGGTGCACAGGCATGAGGCAGCGGCGAACCTGCAAAATCTGCAAAAGATCGGGCCTCGGACGGGAGGAGAACTGGGAGTCTGTGCATGGTGCCACTTCGCTTGAGGCCGAAACTCGGTGATCGTCTTATTCTCGGACCCGAAGCAGCGAAACCGCGACTATGTGGCCGTAGTAAGGCCCTGTTTTTTTTTAAGCACGAAGCCTGCAGGAACTCTGTGAGTCTTGCGGGCGACGTCCTAGAATGATCTAGGATGCTCTTAATTTAGCTCCACAGGCAGGGGCATGCCAAAAAGTACTTTCGACAGGCAAAGCCTGTCGCGAGCAAAGTGCTTTGTGGAAGAAGTCTCATTGTACTCTCTGCAAAAGTCAGTCAGACATCAAAAGGTAAGGACACTGTATGAAGTTCGGCATCTCCTGCTTTGCTCAGCATTTCCATTACTGTGTCCCAGCCAAGTCAGGCTGGCTCCACCCACTGCAGATCACGCTGCAGAAAAAAAAGAGCTTCGGGGTCAAGATGTGCTGCGACAAATCTTCGGCTGCACTGCGCCGTGCCAGGCACGGTCTTTCTTCTACTTGCACTTTACGTACCTTGTAACTTGTGAGCCTCGCCTTCGACCGTCCTCTCAGATGTTAGGTAGGTCAGCAGAGCAGCATGAAAGCTCCCATATCTCTCCTGCATCAAAAGGGCCACATGACTCCAAAGCCGCAGCCAGTGACATGATAGCTGCCTGCGGTCACTCATTTAGCAACAACGAGCCATGAACAGCATGTCGTAGATGAAGCCGTGCTCGTCACGGCAGCATTAGTGTCCATCACGCACTTGTGCAGTACGAACCTTCAAAGCCCGGTGCTCATGCTAGATATTCAAGACAGGAGTTGGGACGTGTTTTTTTTCTGAGCAGCCTTGGCAGCATTGTTAAAAGCGTTGGCCCTCCAACAGCCTCGCGCCCCTCGGACGAACAATAGTTGGATGTAGCACAATAATTGCTGTCCTGTGGAATTCCTTGTTGCAGCGAAGGAGTTCTTAGCTACCCGACTCCCCATGGAGGCCAGCTTTACCGACTCGCTGTTGAAGCCTGCCATCTAATGACATCAACACTCTTAGTCCAAGCTGCTCTCGGCTCTCGTCTAGTGGAGTTTGCTAACCAACGCCAGCCTTGCTCTCTCCTGCAAAGGAGTAACAGCGCTTGTAGTGGGAATGGTTTTAACATATGCTTGTCCCATGAAGTGGTTTTGCCATAAGTACTGGGCAGGCCCCTGGGATATTTGATATTTTTCCCTAATGGCTTTACTAAGGGGCCCTATGTACTAATATTCTTCAAAGGTTTTTAGGGGCCAACCCAGAGTATCTGCAGTGAAGTGGAAAAGGCTGAAAAGGAGGACAAGGGCAAAACAGAGGACGCAGAGAAGGCGAAGAAGGCAGATGTTGGGGATATATTGGGATAATGGAAAATAAAATGGAAACTACTATTTAGGGTTTAGAGTTTAGGGTTTAGGGATAGGGTTATCTTGGGATAACGGAAAATAGGATGGAAGCTACTATAGTATATTGGGATTTTATTCGGATTATATAGGGGTAAGTTTATCTGTGAAGCTTACAGGCAGCTCTGGTCTGTTTAGATACTCCTATATAACTCCAGTTTCCATTTCATTTTCCATGTTTTTGTCCTTTGATTCTCCATTATCCCCATATTACCCCTATAATAGAATCCGTACAACAGCCCAATATACTACAGTGGTTTCCATTTCATTTTCCAGTATCCCAATATTACCCCTATATACTCCCTATATGATTGCTCCTGCGAAATGACAAATGCAGCTTGCCAGCCGTGCTTTGATGTGTCTGAAGCAATTTTGCCCGACAGCTCACCTTTCGGCTTTTAAAGTGAAGCTCATCAAGGTGCTTTGATGGTTGCATCATGTTGCATCGCCAGAAAGACTCCTCGGCTTGTTCCCTAAAAACCGCACAGATGCTCGGTGCAGGACAACCGTCATGGCATCCGAAGGGCCAACCGAGACCCTCAAGATCAGCGCGGCCTGCTCAGTTTTGGCAAGGCATTTCCGTCTTCTTGGCATGGCAAATTTCAAACGACGACCTGCAAATGTTTCGTTTTTCGTCTTGATCACTGTTCTCAACCTGCTCACCGAGCAGCGTCATGCAGCCAACCGTCGTCTGTAACATTCACAAGCAAGGATGGCACCACGATGCAGATTGCCCGCCTGCCGGATATCGATGATAACACCTGGGCAGAGGTGAAGGCCTATGTGGAAGGCCGACATGTGTTTCTGAGCAGGGGCATGCTGTGTTGCTAAGTAGCGTAGACAACCCGGACAGATTTAGCACGCAGTCACTTGGCGCAGGCAATCCAGAGACTGCCAAGGCCGGGGCTTCAGTTAATTTTCAGCTACTGTCGGTACTAGCCTTATTAAGGGACCCTGAACTGTGGACAGAGGGGTCCCTCTTGTACAGGGAACTCATGTCCATCAAATTCTGTGGGAAATGCTGACTGTAGCTCATTT